ACGTATGAAATTTACATTCATTAGCTCGTTATCAATCTTTATGCCCCTCGTTGCCAACTTTTCGCTTTTCGCTCGGCTCGGTTCCCTTTGGACCCGGGGCTAATTACAAAAAGTAATTATGTTTGAACCCCCCAACTTAATGCTGCAACGGCGCCACAAAGGACAGAAAGGGGCAGTTACCGCGTGAAATCAATAAATTAGCAATATGCAAACTGGCCATCGAAGGCCAAAGGAGCTCCGTAATCCTAGAGTAACGAGGCGTGTCCGCCATACGGAAGCCAGTCGAAAATAAGGGGGAAAAGCAGGTGGGGTAGGGGTACCCTCAACATCATTTACAAGTCAATAAAATCAATTTGGGCAGCCGAAGAACAAACAAATTGCCGACATTGCATTAGGGACACAGCACAACACATCCATATATCTTGTATCCTATATGGCACGACCCCCGGCCACAGACCAATTATAATTCTAACGATAGCACCGAACGGAACAGAAGGTTCCCTAATTCCCAATTCGATTCGGGGGACCCCAGAAGCCGGCCTCTAATTAATCAATTATATAAAATACAACTAATGCGATGATCGGGGTGCTGTGAGGTATCCAACGAAGAAGAAGGACGTTAAAAGGGATAAGAGAGGATTCTCAACCCAAATATCGACTGAATATCCTATCGACAGCTGCCTCTGGTCAGCATTTAAACGAAAAGCGAACTGGACATCGGAGATCTAACCCATTTGTTGGGTAGATAAGAGGGAAGCGATGACTATATTACGATCAGGGTCACCCTTTTTCGATAAAATCGCTTAGGGTCGCCTTTGATGATTCAGAATTTATAAATTTCGTCACTGATCAGTGTGATAAAGGTATTTATTAGCATACTCCATTAGCACGAACACCCCAGAGCGTTCAAGATAAAATAATGCTACTTTATATGTTTTAAATTTAATTATTTTTTAACTTTAAATTTAAAAAAAAAATTATATTCGTATCCGCTTTGTAAACGTTTTAAACCCATTAATCGCTTTAAGTAGGTTTAATTAGCCACAGATAAATAATTACGAATTTTTCGAAATCGACAATTTATTCCACATGAATTTCCAAAATTTCAACTGACCACGGGACTCCAATTGGTCTGGGAAATTATAATTATATTTATTTCCTACGAAACAGTATGAGATAAAATTTAATAATTTTAATTGATGCGCATTAAACTCGAATTATCCAAAATATGCATTTTTTGTTTTGCCAAATTCAACAAAACGTTCGAAATAAAACGAAAAGGGGGATTTCAGGCGAGGGGCGATTGGGGGGCAATTAAGACCAGTAGTCGGTACACGCACTAATTACCAAAGCATTTCACATTTTTATTTTATTTTGCAGAAAGGGGGGAAAAGCACCGGGGCCATGAGAGAGTTTCCACAATTAGATTTACGAACAAATGAAATTACTTCGCTTTCGTTTTAATTGCCGACTGCTTATTGGCCGGGAATGTGAGCGACTACGTGGTATATACATAATCAGCCAAGCAGAGGGGCCTTATCGTTGGCTGGAAATCTGGCGATTTTGGGTTGCATAAACCAGTTAATAACGCGCTTCCGCCCAAGTGAACAGAAATTTCGGGCCTACACGACAATTGAGTGAAAATGCAATGTCGCCACGAAACTAACGAAAGCAAGACAAATCGTCGTATCAAATTACCAAATAATGATCGTGGGGGAGGGCCAAGCAGCTATACCTGGTATTATATATATACGTATACAATATAGCCACCGTTTTGTTGGGTGATTATGTCACACGCCCTGCTCACCGAGTCAGCCGCAGCCATTTGTAATTGAATTAATGCCATGGGGCCCTGGGATCGGGAATAGTTGGGTAGTTCGGTAGTTGGGTGTACTATTTATGGGCCAGGTGACGGGGACGCGGCCTTATCGCCGACATTTCATCGCGCGACTCCAGTAACCCTAACTAATCGCACGTAATTAAATATAATTTGGTATCGTTTACAGTTGCGTTCGCGTTTGCTACACCATTTTCACTGACTTGAGTTTTCTCGTTGGCTGGGCGAGGGAAATCTATGTCGAAGTAATGGCTGTAATTGGGTAACTTTTTTGGGTAAATTCCATAAATAATAATCACACAAATTGCTCGGAGTTTGAATAAAGAGCGGTGTCAGAAGGAAAACTTAGTTGGTGGAACAGGCAATTTTGTAAGAAAAATGTAAAATATTGATAACTTATTTAAAAAGCTTTAACAATACCGTTTTGTTATCATACTTGTGAACACAAGTGACAATTTCTGCCTAAAATTTCGATCACATAAAATATAGATAATTAAAAGTTATAGAGCCTTACGTGGTTATAACCATATAAGTTTTATATTTTTGGAAATTTTGGAAAACCATATCTGAAACAAAAAGGTTTATTATCAGAGGTTCACCCTAAAGATTAAAGAATGTCAATTTATTGTATTGATCTAAATTAATAAAAAAGAGTTGCATATCACTTAAATATTTCTGTAAAATATGGTCTTACATTTATGGAATGGCGAAAATCATCTCTATAAAATTTATAATAAGTAAACCCTAATTGAGACTACATTTAATACGATTAAAGGATACCATCTTCGGATGAGGAGGTCTGGGGCTTTGCTTAGCTAATGGAAGTCGGCCCCTCATATCGAATTCATTCTCCCAGCTGGCAAATGGCAACTGGTAAATGGTAAATGCTTCTATCTAAGCTGCATAATGGCCATAATGAATAAGACACCTCGGACGGCCGATAGGGATAGCCGGCCAAGAAAGACTTGGCCACTTGGCTGCAATTTGTTTGCTATCGAGCGACTTGCCGGGGAAAAAGAAGGAAAAAAGAAAAACGCGGAGCAGAAATAAAATTATTTAATTGCGCAATTAAGTGCACATTTGTAACGTTTTGCGCGACATCTGTCCCATGTGCAGGAGTGGATGCAGACTGTAGCTACACAACTGCAGAGTATACAAGTTGAAGTCGGGACCGGAAATTCAATTGTTGAGATAATAATTACATTAGGACGTGCGCGCATGCGCGACTCTCTCACTTTGAGTCTCTATCGCTGTCCCTGTCTCTTTTTCGCTGTGGAGCGATCGGAGCTGGACTAAAGCCTAGAGTGGACCCGAATTAAGTCCAAAACGGGAAAGAATGATGACGTGGATATTTATTGACTAATGAATACCTCGTATTTGAGTATTTTCAGAACTATTTTTGGATGTACTGAAATGTTAAGTTGATTAATTTGATAATTTATACTCCTTACTGTTTAAAATATTTATTTATACTTTAAAATTATAATTATTATGGGGAGAACCCCACCTTATTGATAAATAACTTTATTTATAGTCCTTTCACTTCGAAATGATTAATTATTAAGAAATTACAAAAAAAATAATAATACATTTCAATTCAATTTCACATTCAATGAATACTGTTATAATGCCATTATGTTAAAAAATATATATTTCCTAATGAAATGTATATTCCACCCTATGTTCCTTTACGCTGTGTAGAATGTTACCTTACATACCTTTCCATTTCCAAAACACTGGGTATAACAAGTGCACACCTTGCGCGACGAGCTGATTGACACGGCCACATGGGGACGAGAGATACCTGGTATTCCCTATTCCGATCCCGATCCCGGTCTCTGTTCGCTGTCCATTGAACCCGTCGGCCAAATGGTCACTCCTCGACGGTCGTCGGTCGACGGTCGCCGGTCTTTTGTTTGCATTTCGCCTGTAAATGAAGCGTGAAATTGGCTGCAGTGCAGCGGGCTCAAACTGCAACTCCAACTCCGATTCTCCAATTGCGATCCCTGTTCCGATCTCGAATGGAACTCGGAGAGCGTCGCATTGTTTACTTCTTGTTAAGGCCCGACAATGGGATAATATGGCAATATAATGGCAACACCAAACTATTTGTATGCAATTGCCATTAACACTTTATTTATTGCCTTGCGATACGAGAGCAAATTGGGCAGCAAATGGAGGTTGGAGGTTGGGGGAGGGGGCTCAGCTTCCAGTGCAAAATGCCAACGGAATGGAGAGCTGTCGTTGTATAAGGCCCGCTTATATCAGGCCTAATGAAGTAGTTATCAAGGAATGGAATCTGTTAGGTCTGTTTTTTAAATGGCAAGACCGGGATTGAGTTTGGTTTTTTTCATCATCAGCGGTGGACAGTTTTCATTGAATTAATTACATTAAATTACAATGAGTTAAAAACGTAGTCAGGGAATTTAATGGGAAAAAACAGGGTAAGAGCTATGTAATTTTCCCTCAAAAAATTTAACTAGAGTCATCTGCGAAGCTCTCTCGTTAACCCCTTTCTTTCCATGGGTCATTGCATTTCCTCACTTGACACCCCAACTCCGAAAGGTAAACAAAACGGACTACGGTCCGGCAATCATCCAATAAAGCCAACAAAGTCATTAACGAGGCCTTTAACACTCGGTCTATATGGCCGGGTCTAAATCCCATTCCCAACTCCATTCATTCCCCATATGTCTTGGCTAAATTATTTAATTTATGAGCCGCAAACGAAACGCATCTATGGCAACCGAGAGGAAGAAACGCGTCGAGCTGGGGGGCAAATAAATTTCCATTTTGCTAATCAAATTTATTGCACTTTGTGCGGGGCTTATTCAATTACGCCCAATCGAAGCGGCAGCGCGACAGAGAGGGCGATAGGAGCGATAGAGAGGGGTAGAGAGAACCTCCGCCATTACTGAGTGCTGCTCTCCCATAGGCCGGAGCACCGGAAAGGGGCGGAGTCCGCCTCCCGCTCACCTGCCGCCTCACCTGCGGCGACACCTGCGACGATCGATCGACACGCTCCGATCGCATCGCTCCCTCTCGCTCTGTGGCACTACAACAGCCGGTAGAAGCCAAAACCACTCTCGCAACATCACGCTCTATGGGAAAACAACAAACTCCAACCGGTTGTCAGTCGTTCAGAGACCCACCTGAGTTTTCACCGGCGCGCCAACCGCTCACCGTGTAGTTCGCTGGCGGCTCTGGAACAGCCCGGTCATCACGTCGCGTTCGGTTCCCATTTCGAGTTCGATTCGATTGGAAATATATCGTTATTTTCGTAGAAGAGTGCGTAAAGTCGTGACAAAGGGTCGGCGGCCTTGGCACAATAGTTGTACCCATAGTTATACCCCTTATACCGCTATCCAAGTGAACAGTTAAGACCTCTGATTTCTGGTTTATCGGCAAAGTGGACAAAAGACCGTCGGCAAGTGTTACGGTCTGGTGTGAAATCTAGAGGGCTAATAAAGCCGGTGAAGACAGAGACAGCAAGAATAAACCAATTAGAAGATATTGCCAATTCTGAAGGGGTCACCCAGAATTACAACTATACTACCCGTAGATAGAACTTGAAACAAATAGGAAAAAAAGAAGGTAAGTCTATAACAATTTTATAAGTATGATATTTTCAACTTTTTATTGACGCTAAAACAACCATTCATCAATTATTGGTAATAATTTATAGCGGTTTCAAATCTATTAATCTAATCCAACAACTTTTAGAAAAATGCAAAACAATGGAAATTTGTAGTATAAAGGCTAGTTCTAGAATTACTTTTCTGAGTCTTAAAATTACTTGGTTAAACAGTTTTCTATTGACAATATTGCTGTATCTCTTTTTCAATGAAATCATCACTTTATTTTCTATGCTATCCCTCCTACTGATTAAAAACACTTTTGTGACCCTTTTAAGATCAGTTCCAAAACCCTGCAGTGTCCGACCTACTCTTCATTTACACATATCTAAAATCACACCTTGAGCCTAACCTACTTCTCAGCATGATTGACAAATATTACAAGTATAACCCATAAATTTATTTCATAATTCCCCTGTCTAATCATATGCCAATCAGCTTAAGGGGGGAAAAACAAAAAGAATAACGAAAATTAAATATCATTAAATTTGATTAATTTCCCACCTGGACATATCAAATCAGACAAATATCAAGCCCAATCGCATCATCGCTGTAGAATAAGAATTTGATTAACTCAATTTTTGGGGGGCAGAAGACTTTGCCTTTGCCTTTGCCTCATGCTGATAGCTCGATAAGTTTATCGCTGATTGGGTTTAATTAAACACCATTAAAGAGTACAAATTGTCAGCGGCGCAGTCAGTGCCAATAAATCACGTTTTGTCTAGCTGATGTTTTTCCTACTTTCGGAGGGGGTTCATAGTCTTCGCTTGTACCCATGTGTACCTACACCTTCAGAGTAAATGAAATTAACTGGCCGCGGCTATCAATCGCCGATAATCGTGTCAAAAGCCCCTGACCACTTAGCTTCTTGACGTCGTCAAGAGGGCCTCGAGCTCATAGCTCATGGAAAACAACACAAATATACTATATTTGATAGATATGTGGGTGCAGATAAACCCCGAAGAAAACCGGGAACCCACCCATGGTATCCCGAAGTTAATCTTGGGCACTTGGCCAACTGATTTAATTAATACCCATAACGCATGTGACTTGTCAGCACAAATTTAAACGACTTTTGTGACGCAAACAGCAGAGTATCTATATCATCTTTCCCAATAGATAGCACCAAAGAGATCCGATAAGATTGGCCTGGTTTTCCTGGGTTTTTTGGGGCTCCCTAAAATTAAAATATGTTCTCCAGTTCCCACTGGCAGTTCAATTCAATTACGCCAACATACAATTAAAACCTGTTGCCATATACTCCAGATACCGTTTCGGTATCTCTTAGATATACAACCGAATTTTTTGGCAGCTATCTGAACACGAACTCTGATTTGATTTGATTTGATTCGATTCGAAGTTGTTTGATTGCTCGACAGCTTCCAATTTGGGGCGCTGTCTTTTGAAGGGTTGATGGCTGTTGGGTGATGGCTGATTGGTGATGGTTAATAACAACACACCCCCGGAGATGAATCTCCGTCCAGCGGGAAGATGGCGCCAGGGCCCATTGAGATGTGCTTCATTAAATCCTGGCCCCAATCCCATCCCATTCCGATCCCCTCACTAAATGGAACATGCAAACATGAGAAATTAACGTCGCCGTCGTCCTCAAATTGCCCACCGTCTGCCTCGGATTCGCTTATCAAACCACACAAGACAATGACAAAGGGCAGAGCGGAACAGACGGCGATGGAGATGGCGTCGGGCAACAGTTGTCCAATCCCCCGATCCCCTCCAGAACCCTCCTCCCTGCGACTGCTGTTCTTAACATGCATTTTATGAGTAATTGGCCCCGCATCAACATCACCAACATGGACTAAGCTTGTACAGCATCACCATTCAACATCTTGGTCTTCTGTCTTCTGGGTCTCGAGTCTCTGACTTTCTGACTCTGCCTCTGATTCCGATTCTGAGTCACAATTTGAACCCAAGACTACCTTAGGGCTACCGTCCCAGCAATCTCCTCCATTAGGGTGGCCACAGGTGAATTTCGCTACCTGGGAGCGAAGCTCAAATGCCCTTGAAGAGCTCGAAATCCATTTGGCTGCAAGCTAATAAAGTTTTATTACACAGTCTAGGGGTAATGTTATTTCTAGCAGAAGCTATCCGACCAAAGATATGCATTTTACTTATTATGATATTATGGAAATATGAAAATAGTAACTAAACTTTTTAATTTTTTTCAACAAAGTATGGAGTTCTTAAAGATTAAGTAGGATGGGTATTTTTCCTGGCACCCTACCTTTTAAAGGTAGAGCACTTTCCAATTCGATGCGACTCCGACTGATAGGCAGTAAATTGAATTAAGATTGCAGCAAAGGAACAACAAATGAGGCAGCAGCTTCGACACAGGATATGAATAAACTAATTATAATTGGGAGTGTGTGCATTAGAGGTCCACAGCGAACACCACAGAACACCAGAAACAAGAGAAAGACGATGATGACGGCGCCTGGCCAACAACAAGAATGCTGCCTTATCGCACCTGGTCCAAAAGACGGCGCCAAGAAACAAACAACCCAACAACGAACAACGAACACCGAACAACAACGAATAGCCAGCGGAGGGCAGCTCAGGTGCAGCTTCAAATGGGATAAACACTGCGGCTCAGCTGCTTGTGATATCGGTTTTATGCATTTCTGGGTGACTCACGAGATCTGGTCGAAAATTAATAATTGACCTTATCGAACCGAAACTATTAGGCGGGAACGTCCCTGGCCAATCCATCAACTGCCCAGGGGGACCACACACTCGACCACACACCGGTATGAGGGGTTTTCAGGGGACAACCAGTGAGCTTTCGCCCGGGGCCAAAAGTTAAGCCACCCAAAATGCTTGCCATTATCAAGGGCGGGGGGCTCAAAATTACAATGCCGATCATCAAAGTGTGACTAAAGTGGTTTAGCCTAATGTAAACCCATAAATACGCATCCCAGATACTGGCCAGACTGGAAACTGGAACCTGGAGTCTGGAAGTCAGAAATCCGAAGACTCAGAAGGTCTGGAGAGAGTGGAGAGACCCGAGACGGAGACGCATTAACAAAATGCCAGAAAAGAGCTTCTGTTTGCTGTTCTACCTGAAGCCATATCCCTCTGGTCCCTCTGGCTTTTAATGAAATATGCCAGCACAACAGTCCCCAGTTCGCCAGTTCCCCAGACACTAAGAATCGAGGAAGGAGGATCGCTTCGGGAAGATCGGGAGCTGGAGGAGCTAAAAACACAAAAGTGCAACCATAAAAACGACACCAAACATGAAGGAGCCAGCTGAAGACGAGTCTTCCGAGGAGAAGACTGCAGCTGAGTTGAGTTGTGGAAAGAGCAGCCAGGCAGGGCAGGAACATTGATGCTTATCGAGATGACAGAAGTGACGACAACGGACGGCGGACAAGGGACAGTGGGCCCAAAAGCAACGAAATGGACAGTGGACAACCGAATAGAAGTACCGCCGTACACTTGTTTCGCATTACGAATTAATTTCTTCATTTTCCATATGTCTGCACTGGGAGAATGAGGGGTTTGTCAGGTCTATGGGATTTAATTTTGTGTAATTTTAATTGTAGCGCTTCTCTCACACATTTATATAAATCATACATCAATTTTACTAATAAAATAGAACAAAAACGGTATGATATAGGAACATAAAATAAATAAGCAAAATTCCAAAATAATTCGAAAATGCGTACTATTGCTGGGTTACTTATAATAAGATCTATATTTATCAGCTAAATTATCCGAAGATAAACCATAGATTTTCTCCCAGTGTCTTTATGACTGAGCTGGGCTAGGAAACCCACACAGCCTACAATGTTGCTCTTAAATATTTCCCCAGACACTAATGGAGCTTATCTCTAAACGGAACAAGCAACCGCAAACAAGTTGCCAGACTCGGACTCAGACTCAGACTCATACTCAGACTCGGACTCAGACTTTTTCTGAGATTCGGAATGGGACTTGGACTGCCAACTGGCGCTCGGCCTGATTAGCATGCAGGGACTAAGAGGGCCAAGAGACGCCGAGAGGTTGTGTCAAAATGTTAGCCACGAAATCGCCCCCGCCAAAAGTCCACAGCCATCCACACCCATCTACACCCATCCCATCCAAATCTCTGGCTTCCTGGAGTGCAGCGGGTATCTGGATTTGGGCAGAGCAAGTGCAGCGTTAACTTGATTAGTTGCTGGCCAGCCAACTTTTAAGTGAGTGAAAACTAAATGAAGCCATGCGACCATCGCGTAGCCAGGCCAAATCGGTAGGCAGACGTCAAAAACTTGACAGTTTCCAGCGAAGTCTCTGCCTTTTAATTACCCAGCGAAACGTCAATCAGCGGATCCAGGAGGATTCCCATTCGATTGCTTGCTTTTGCCTGGGCTATAATAAAGTCGTAACGCGGATACAATTATAAGGCGGCTCCACAACAAAGCCAAACGGCACACATTCCCCACATAGCTCTAAACTGCTCCACGGTTCCCATTCGCATTCGCATTCGGATTCGCATTCACATGCAATGAATTAATCAGTGCGGGTCTTATAATGAACTCAGGGGGGAAACTAGTAACTAGTAGCATAATTGCAATTCGTACAGCTAATTTAATAATTTGCGGTCCGCAAATTAAGTTTGTCAGCTGTCAATGCGCGGAATTCGTTGACAACATTGAAAACTGACAGCCCAACTCATAACCGAAGTTATGATCGAGCCCAGAAATGAGTTATGAACTGGAGTTCGCAACTGGCAGGCAAGATTCATGCGGAATGCCCCGGCGAGGTGAAGAAAGATGCCACTCAAGCTGAACCCGGCTGACATTGGCAAAACCTCAGGGACCAGTTCAAGTGCACTTGGAAAAATATTTGTATTTTATTAGAAAATGTCATACCACTTTTAAAATATTTTAAAATTATTAAGGGATTCTTGAGATAACTCTACTATATTAAAGGTGTCTAAAAGTATGCCATAAAATATTTAAAAACCTTTTTTAAGAGATTTCAACGATTTCAGTGATTTTTGGGTCCCCAAAAATATTTTTCTTACAACCTCTTTTTTAAGTTGAAGTTAAAATACTAATACAATACAAAATAAAGGTGTTTAAAAGTATGCAGCAATATGTTTTTTCAGTGCATACTTTTGGGCACCTTTATAGGAGATTGCTATACCTTTAAATTTTATATTAAGTTTTAAATATTAAAAAATTTAATATATATAGTAAAGACCCAACTCCCATCAATAAATATTTCCCAGTGAACATTTTCTCTCCTCTGGCTTCGATTGTTCGGCCGGTTGCAACTTCATTCCGCGCAAGAATGCAACTAAATCAATCACCGCCACACTAATTTGCCATTTAACAAGGTATTTGGACAATTTTGATATATGTAGAGATGTCAACAGAAGCGGCGGCCATCAATCAAGCCGAGTTTTGGGCATGGGACAGGGTCTGGACTTTGGAGATACATATACGTATACGTATGGCCCTGACTTCTGTAGTTCAGAGATGGAATAGAGGGAAGAGGATGAAGGTTACACGCCGTCTCTAACCATTTAGTTGTCATTAAAAGACGTCGTATATTAATTAGCAAAACATGGAATTACCAAAGTCAGTAAAAGAGTAAAAGAGAGAAACCCGGGGCCAAACTGGCACCTGATATTAATTTGATCTGATAGAAGCCACTTGGACACGGGTCTCCTCCGCTGAGCAGCCGTTGAGTTGATGATGATGAAAATGAAGTTGCCGCCCAATTTAATTAAAATTCCAAACGATCTGGGCATGAAAGCTGTTACTGCTGCTATACCAGAGTAAACCCAACCCAACTCAGCGCCCCGACGGAAGACGTGTTGATGGAAGAGATCAGCTGACGGACAGCCCCATGCTGTGGTCATCGATTTGCATTGAGGCAAGTTCGTCAGCAGCTGCAGGTTGGAAACCTCAGTTTCGCAGATGAATCTGGAAATAAAGTGGAAGCCATGACCATAAGGCACGCTTCCAGAGACCGCAGAAGAGTCAGCCGACTAACTAACCCACAAGGCAGGCAGAAAAGCACTTGTCTAAGCGAAATTTGGCACTTAAATATCTGTAGGAATAGCTCCCGGAGCTTCTGGAATAGAAAGTAATAAATCAGTATTTTATGTTGGCCATAGATACATTTTTAACGACTTTCGCTACCAGTAGAATATATCACCTTTAGAATTCAAATAAATCATGCCTTAAAGATTTTGTAATGGCAAATTAAATTTCTTTTTATTTATTCTGTTTGTACCCATTTATTATTAACCTTAATTGGTATGGGAAATTATAAGAACAATTAAAGCCGAGTATTTTTGTTTAGGAATCAGATTTGGCCTGGTCTGCATTGACCTTTTCTCATGGCTATTTCACCACTCCCTTTCTCCGGCAAATTCTGGCACTCCCTAGACCTTAAACCCTGTTGGCCAGTGTAACCGCAGCTAACCTCAACCGGCGAGTCCCGACCCAACCGATGACTTGGTCATGGCTAGATGGCAAATTACGGAAATTGGCATAATAAAGTGCACGATAATTGCACGTTTAGCGTTTATTGAATTACGAGCTTCTAATGCGCGACTAACTAGATATCTCTACCCCTTTTTTCACATATAAAAAAAGGTATAGAAAATGTTATATTATTATTAAAATGCAATTTTGTGTGCTTATTTTTATGGATATCTATTCTTTATGTAATCAAAGCTATACACTTTTAAATAATTAGGTGGTTTTTCCTGGAATATTTATGATGATGATTTCTTGGGATTATTATAGAACTTGTAACTAACTTATCTGTACTTATTTCTCCAGATCGCCAGATCAGACCGCCCGTCCTGGATTATGGGCATATCGGAGGAGATCAAGCTGGAGGAACTACCGCAAGAAGCCAAGCTAGCGCACCCGGATGCCGTAGTGCTGGTGGACCGCTCAACCGGATCGTCGGCCGCCTCCGCCGGCGCAGCGCTAGCGGTTTCCATGTCGGTCTCTGGAGGAGCTCCCAGCGGAGGTGGGGGAGGAGCAAGTGGGGCCAGTGGCGGCACCAACAGTCCCATTTCGGACGGCAACAGCGACTGCGAGGCGGACGAGTACGCCCCGAAGCGGAAGCAGCGGCGCTATCGCACAACCTTCACCAGCTTTCAGCTCGAGGAGCTCGAGAAGGCCTTCTCCCGGACCCATTATCCCGACGTGTTTACGAGGTGAGTAACATATATGACGAAATGCGATAAGAATATATAAGGCCGAACGAAATGAGTGGCCCAGAAGAAAAGAAATTTGCATAAATCGCTCATCGAGGCGCGACAAAGGCTGGAAAGTCGACGATTCCCCGCTTTTACGTTTTTACGATACCCCGATACAGGTGATAATAATAATGCTCATAACGAGACACGAGACGACCCCCCTGAGTGGATCGATCGATCTTATTTGGAGCACAGCAGTGTTTATATGGAGACTCCTCCTGAGATAGCCGCAATAAGAAACCCTAAGAAACTCTAACGATCGCAATTAGCATGCAGCAATGTGGTTGAAAGACAGCCACGGTAATTGCCATAAATTAAAAGTCAGTCACTTCTCAGTCGAGGAACGGAACCAAAGTGAACGCTAATTGAGACCGCACGAAGCTAAAAAGCTATAAGCCGAGACCCAAACAAAAACCGAAATAAAAAGTGAGCTTACAAAGTCAATCGCACGGCCACAATTAGATCAACTTTTTTGCCGTATCGCTGGCAGTTTTCAATTCATTAGGCTGCGGGTTCATTTAAATGCTCAGCAATTAATTAAGCAAATAAATCAAATCACCTTTGATTTCTGTATAAGCTTCAATTAGCTTCTAAGTGATTGGAATGAGAGGTGAGCTCGGGTCAACGATATGATATGTGCATCTTTTTGCAATAATTAGCTTACCTAGCTAAAGGTTTTGAGAATCGCATAGAAAGGTCGTTTTTATTACCCTGCCCCAGTTCGCTGCTGTTTTTTCCTAGCTAACCGAGGTTTCTCTTTCATCTTCTCTTGCAGAGAGGAGCTGGCGATGAAAATTGGATTAACCGAGGCGCGCATTCAGGTAAGAGGAGAATTCAGGGCTCGAAGCTGCGCAGATTTGCGGTTAATTCGCGTGGCCCACGTGCAGCCAACAATGTTGAAAATTGAAAAATAATGGAGCATGTCGCTACTAATGAAATCGACACGGGACTAGACAGACAGACGGACAGCCGGCCGGCAGGGAGAAATTCATTTAATTCTGTTTTAGTGCCAGTCATTACATGCCCGGTCAGTTTATGGCCGGGAAGTCGCCGCTTCTTTTTAATTACCGCTCATGCTAAACAACATTATTTGCCTATCCATTTCGGCTTTTTCCGGCTCCTATTCCGAGTGCAATCAGCAGTGGACGTCGTCCTGGTACGGACTCCGTATTCAGATTGTTATGTTAAAAACTAATTAAAGGGGCGTTTTCAATAACAACGCCCATTAATTGGATGCTTTGGGAGTACAGCCTATGGAGTGGTTGCTCCAGAGGATGCAGATACAGTAGCCTGCCAGCAGCACATAACTCATGATGCCTTCCTTACCGATCTTACCTTCCAGGTTTGGTTCCAGAATCGGCGCGCCAAGTGGCGCAAGCAGGAGAAGGTCGGCCCCCAGTCGCATCCGTATAATCCCTACCTGCCCAGCGGCGCCGCCACCATGCAGACGGTGGTGGGGGCCGCCCTGCCCCCCAATCCCTTCACCCACCTGGGCTTCCAGCTGCGCAAGCCCTTCGACGCCCAACACGCCGCCAACCTGGCCGCCTTCCGCTACCCGCACCTCTCCGCAGCGCCCATGATCCCGTCGGGCTACTTCAACCAATTCCAGAGGTGACTAATCCCCAGGGGTTATGCTAAACTATGCCTTAAAGTTGTATTTAGGTAAAGCAGTACATTGCATTTGTAATTTTCCTTAATTTATATATTTGCTTCAGTTGGAATGCATTTCTGTGATTTTAACATTCATTCAATCTAAGATAATTTTCGAATTATTTTATTTTATATATTCCAAATCGTTTTTCAATTATCTTATTAGATGGCATTTTATTTGTATCCCCATTTGATCCTTACACCCTTCCTTAAAATGTAAGCAGAATTTTTGAATGCATTAAATTAAAAATTCTTAGTTTAAATTTGATTTTAAATATTTTTTTATACCAACTTTTTTTTTAGATTGAAATGTACTAAAAACAAAATTATTTCTTAAGAAATTTGTATTAATTATATGTTTTTTTTTTTGTAATCCTTACAGGGCTCCTCCCCACATGCTGCCCCACGGAATGGCAGGCATGTACTCGCCCTCGAGCTCCTTCCAATCGCTGCTGGCCAATATGACGGCGGTGCCGCGAGGACCGCCCCTGGGAAAGCCTTCGGCCCTGCTGGTGGGATCCCCCGATCTGCACTCGCCCAACCACCTGCTCGCCTCGCCGCCCACTTCGCCCGCCTCTGGCCACGCCTCCCAGCATCAGCAGCACCCGCCGCCCCCTCAGGCGCCTCCTCAAATGCCCCTGGGAGTCCAGCCCGCTCAACTGTCGCCCCAGCAGCTGGTGGGGATCGCCCTGACCCACCAGGCGCCGTGTCTGTCGCCCACTCAGACTTCCCCGGTGGCCCTGACCTTGTCGCACTCCCCCCAGCGACAGCTGCCCCCGCCACCCCCCGCATCGCACCAGCAGCCTGCTCCTCCGCCGCCCGCCCCCCGAGCTGCCACGCCCCCCGAGGACAGACGCACCTCGTCCATTGCCGCACTGCGTCTGAAGGCCCGGGAGCACGAACTGAAGCTGGAGCTGCTGCGACAGAATGGACATGGCAACGATGTGGTCAGCTAGCTGAAGGAGGAGAAGGAACTGAGCTCCAGGGAGGAGGAGGATGAGATGGATGATACGATGGTCAGGAAGGATATCCCAAACCCAAGTGCAAAGACATTGCCCGTTCACTGTAGACCTAAGCCAATAAGTTATTCAATTGTATGTTTCTGAGAAGGAGTTTCAAATAAATTCAACAAGTAAAAAGATTTGTGCAGATAAAATTAGAAACTATTTAAAGAAAGGCTATAGCCTTTTGGATATTAAGCCAAACGGGGGATATTTAAACTTTACTATAAAAGTTTCAAAGAGAGAGAAATGGAAAAATGAAATTTCTAATATTTATTTTACATTATTCAATGTAAAAATGATATGACTATGAATTGAATTACATTCAAAACATTACAAAATCGTAAAAGTAATAATCTTATTTTGCCAATGAAAAGAAATGCATACACTTGACTGACCCAAAATTCAAAATACAAAATAAATACAAAACCAAGTTCAAACCAATCTTCCAATGGAAACAGACCAAACAACACCTAGCTCTTCATCATCTCTTTGTGTTTTTGTCCGGTAATTCCCACAAATTATCCATAAGCCGAGGCCTAATGGACAAAAGCCCCTTTATAATGTGCGTAACAACACCTACTTGGAACAACGGACACCGAAGAGAAGGGGAAGTCTGAGCTCTCAGCCAACCCAGAAACTGAATCACAGCCAGTCCGACCAGATCTTGGGAGTACGGAACGATTTCGAGTCGGATCCGGAGACTCGGAGCTGCCATTAATCAGTGGTCTTCCCATAAATCAGCGAGTGAAGGGGCAGCAGCGGCGGAATGGAGAAGAAAGGAGTTGGTGTGGTCAAAAACAAAAACAAGGCACTCATCTTGTCCGGGGGAGGGTGCCACAAATATAAATTTATGAATAACTTAGAAGCAAATTAAGTATGTTAATAAGGCGAGTTCAAAGTCAAAAAATTCAGAGAGAGAGAGGCAGCCACTAAATCGAAATCTCCGTCTCTCTTCGATTCTTGTTGGTGAATTATGCGCGGTAATTAATAAAATGGAATATTTATGATAACATTTATAAAACACGAAGTTGCCTAATTCGATTACCAGATTTTTTGGTCAACCGTTCGTTTTTTGTTCGCTCTAAAACGGGGAAGCGAAAAGGCAAGAAGATGGAGAGGATGACGGGAACTCCTCCTCCGATGGCCTGGTAATTGCGATGAGGTGGAACTGTGATAATCATGTTTAACCGACGGGCCTGCATAATATTTTTCATCTCCCTTCCGCTGGCTGGCAACATTTCATGCATTTCAATGAGTTCGTCAAATGCAGAATGCGAACGCGAAGCCAGGAACCCAAGAGCAAGATCCAAACAATTAATTTGCATAATAATCAAGCCAACGGGGGGGAGTGGGAGGTTCAACAACCATATTAATAATCATTAATTAGGCGACTAATTAACGCTGACATTAAGAGGCTGCATTTTAATTACTACCCTTCGATTTGATAGGCCATTAGCTTAGTTTTTTGATTACAGAAGGAAAAAATTAAGAGTAAAATATTATTTAATACCAATTTTTCAAGTATTGCATTGTAAAAACGATATGCGAATTAAAAACATAAATTTACCATGCACATATCGATTTGATCCCAGTGTATATTTTTTGTGTGGACTATATCTATAAATTATTAACATTATTTATTAAATTACAGTTGTTCTATTAACGATAATAAACATTTGAATTAATTTCTAGCTCTTGCTGAATTTCCACTTCCCTAACGTATATTTATAAGAATAATTACATTTTTTCTCGTAGTGCACGCCAGCTATTTGTCTAACATTTCTATTCTATTTTAGCAACGGCAATTAATTTGTTAGCAAATTTGCACAGAAACATTCGATTCAGGTGCCTTTTTTGTTTGGTTTTAATTCAATTTAACTTCAACGCGAACTTAATTGTTAATTCCACGAGCCACGAACCAGGGCACTTTTTTCCTGTTTATTTTCCTTCTTTCTCCATATATTATTTTGTTGCCTTGCGAGACAAAATGCTGCTTTTTTCGTATCTGCTGGATATGTAATTGCCTCGGTGCTCATGTGTGTGTGTGTTTCGTGTGTCGGTGCAATTAAGTTTGCGTTTAATTTGCAATTATCCAAACGACTCAAACTAATTAGCGCCACTTTGATTAAACTTGGCAACAACAAAAAAAGACTGAAATGAAAATGGAAAATGAAAATGTTTGCAATTTTTCACGAGTAATTCAACCGCAGAAATGGCTTAATGGTAATGAAAATTCGCAGAAATCTTAATTCAATTTGAATTGGAAGCGGATTTGGCCCTGAAAAATACACATATATAAAAACATATTTATAAATACTCATGAAATTGGTCATAAAATCAGGGCCTAACATTTGTTTGGGGCTATGGCAATAGCTTGCGGTGGGAATCGATCCAGAAATTATAAATTCATTGAGACAAACAAAAGACTTAGGCAACGAACTTTCTGCCGGCCCAACATAAAACTGTTGGCATGTGAATGAAACCAGAAATCCAGTTACATATGCATATATTTGTAGTGGGATCAGCGATGAGATAATCTCAGCGATAGATGGGAGTCTGATTTGAAATCATCTTATCGAAATGTTGGATGACAAAAACATTTACCACTTCATCACATTGTAAATGACATTGGGGTTATAACATAAAAATTATAGCTAGCTTAAAGGTATTCACTGTGTTAAAGATATTTTCCCCAAGTGCAGTATCTGCTGACTAACAGAAATTCAGTGTCTTTTATTCCTTGTGTAAACTTCCTTTCTCTTGTTTATGGCTCAGTTGAAATTATTCAGTGTTTTTCAGCAGTTCGGGACTGGTGCATAAATTAAATTGACGCAGACTCCGCGGATCGGTGGATTGGAGAATGGAGAAGGAGGGCCAAGGAAGCTAACAATTCCACTGGCTGTCCAATTGGAGCATGTCGAATGGTCTTTGGGCTGTTCGATTCTAATTAACTTGTTGGCATAATTGCTCACGCTCTGTTTTCCTACTGTTCCTTGTTCAGTTCTCCTGTTTTTTTTTTATGGGGGGAAGTGCTACATTTTTGAATATAAATCATCAGGGGGTGAGCTGTTTTGGGGACCTGCGTCCTCATAAGCGCCGACAAAACGGTAACGATGTGACTTTTATTATACTTCTCTAAAGCGACTGGGAACCCAAAAAGAAATACAAGAAAACGATGAGAAACATTTGGCGCCGTGGCAATTAGTTATCAAAGACGTCGCGCATTGACAAGCAAAAGTCAAGGCACTCGAAGCCACCCAAAAGAAAACGAAATGCCAGAGGAGAGACCCCGGGGAGAATGTGGAGACAGAGAGACAGAATCGGGAAAGCTATATAAAGTGGACATTATCCATACAAGCGATGAGTCATCATGAGTGCGATGCGAACACAGAAATAAACGAACAAGAAGGTGGAACGGTTGCTGTTGTGCTGTAAGTGAAGAACCAGGCCTGGAGACTTGGTACTGGAGAATCCAGTACCCTCTTCGACTTTTCGTAGACCCGCCCCAAATCACGGCAACGTGTGCCGGGGCCAAGACAATATTAAAACGTAGCCCAGCTAAACATTGATCCTTATCGACATCTTCGGAGGGAGTTGGTCTCGGTATACGGATGCCTGGATCTCTGCTCATGGCTACCACTTCAGGTTCCAGGGATTCCGGGGAGGGTCAGCTGCAATTGGTAGCCGAACAGCAGCAGCAGAAGCAGAAACAACTTAGCACGAGACACTTCGCGGGCACACCTCGCACGCAAGGCGAGTTCAGGGAATAAATATAAAGGAGAGAGACCTGAATAGTAGAGTTTCTAGGTAAAATGAGTAGGAAAATACTGGAAAATATACGTATATTACTTTTGAATATATTACAAAATATAAATCTAGAACTTAGAATCCCTTAACTCTGAAAATCTGTTGCAAAAATGCATTATGTAATCTGAAATACATAAATCTACATTGACATTCTTATTATTTCTTGAACATCTTATGATGGAATTAAAGATCATTTGATTAAAATTTAAAAATAATTTCAAATGTTATTGAATAAAATATTCCCACATATTTTCCATAAATCCTATATATAGTCCGATGTATAACATCCTACTGACCCATTCCCATGCGGGCAGGGAATTGATAATTCAAATCAAATCGAGTGGAGACGGAATGAATGCGCTAATTAAATAAACATAAAAGTCTCGGGTCGGGCATTTTTTACGCCTCCTTAGCTTATCTGCGAACGACATGTGTAAAAGAGATCGGATCGCTTAAGCGAATTAGCATATTCATATTCCACCCGATTCGGGCGATTCGGGTGATTTGGGGATCCAAACCCACGCATTAGGATCGATAATGAGCTGATTAAAGTCGTAGGTGTTGCAGCGTGCAAGATTAGATTAGGCTAATCAGCTGGATCAGCTTTATAAGGGGTCTGAGTCTGAGAAAGATGGAAAACAAGAGACCCAACTATCGGAGATCAAAACAAAAGCCGTTGATGGCATACTCGATAAGTGGAGCGGTTGCCTTTCGATAATTGCTGGGGCAGCAGTAATTAACTCGGCCGACGGCCACGTCGCAATGCGAATTATAATTCGAGTTTGCCACAAATTAAAATTGCCATTCGGCGAGGCATCCGCGGCATGCGACGGTGCAAAATCTGACAAGCGGCAACAGCATAATAAAAATATGTATGTGAAATGTGAAATTAAATAGGACGCAGCAAGCAGCTGCGTAAAAGCACTGAGAGAAATTCTGGAACTGAAACTACAACAAATAGAAAAAAATACTCGCAAATTCCAGAAATGTTTGAAATCAAGAAAGGAAGCTAGCTTCGGCAAGCCGTAGCTTATATACCCTTGCAGATCATTCTATTAATTTACAAATCGCAAAAATGTTAAATTTCTTTTTATTTTACATTAATTTTTCGATCGTTTCTATCACAGCTATATGATATAGTAGTTCGATCTTTTAAAAATTAAAATCGAAATTCGGAAATATTTCAAAATAGTCATATCCCAGAGTAGAAGGAAATGTGATAAAAACCAACAAAGATATAATCTTTTTCCCATTAATTTCCATTTAATTTAGAAGAGTTTAGAAGAGTAGAAGGTAAAATTTCAAAAAACACCGGAGCTAGAATTTTT